TCCCTATGATAAAGCCTCTAAGACAAATCTAGGAGTTGGTTGTAAATGTTGGAGCCATTTGAAGAATGACATTTCATGGATATGGGCATCCTTACTTCTTTCTTTTTGTCCTTTTCCAGTGTTTGTTTTAATTTCTTATTCTCTTGGTCTAATCTTACAGGTAAATGGTTCTTGTCTGTAAGGATGTGTTTTACTTCTGGGCAGGCATCAGGTCATCAATGGACTGACCACCCTCCAGTCTTTTCTCCATCTCAATCAGCAGCTTGACTCCATCCACCACCATCTGCACCAGCTCCACCTCAGAGAAGCCCAGTCGATCAGCATTGGAGATGTCAAACACCCCACCAACAGCATCCGTATCCACGCCACCAGTTCCACGTTTCTGAAGCCTCATCCTCTTCAGAACCTCGTCAAAGTTTGCATTATTGCTCATGTTGGGCAGCTTCACATGCACACCTGCTCGCAGACCTGTTCCCAGATTGGATGGACAGGTCAGAACGTAGCCCAGATGCTCATTCCACATGAACGAATTACCTTTTTCCTTGAACAGATTCTCGATGTTGGTGAGTCCAGTGCAGAAGCGTTCGAACACTTCCTTCATTTTGCCTCCTTTCTGCATTGAAATGACACGCAGGTGGTCTTCTTCATTCACCCACACCAGGAACGTCTTGTTGTCATTGTGCCAGATGCCTCTGCCATCAGGCCAATCACGGGCCATTCCTGCAGACAGCAGCAGGGGAGACACGGGTTTGTCAAACACCCGGCTGCAGTGGGGCGGCAGGCAGAAGCCACGGATGCTGCGTCCTGTTCGGACACGTGAGCTCAGGACATAGTTAGGGTCAAGATCATCACCACCTACCAGATTATCTGGGTTGAGGTCAGTCTTGTGTTTGTCCGTTGGCTTATATCCTCCATGTCTGTCCTCAATCACTGGATCCATCAGCTCTTTGAAGACTTCGTATGTCTCCTCATCTCCAGCAACGCAGCCCACAGTCATGATGAAAGGATGACCTGGATTGTCCACTCCTGTCTGGATAACGTTGTCTATGGTGTATCCATTGGGTGTAGCCCTCTCTCTCAGCATTTTGTACATGTCCGGTGTTAGCACTTTGGCCATGTGGTTGTTGTGCGTACTGAGATCTGGGAACTCTTCTTCAGCTGGAAGCCTCTTCAGTGTGAGTGAGAACATACAGTCACAGAGGTTGTCAACATCGGCCATGTTTACAGTCTATTTGTTTTCTACAAATCAACAGAACTTGATAAACTTTTATACACTTTGTTACTCGGATGTTTAGTAAAACTCTCTCTTTGGCTGATTTCAGGAAGTTTTCTTTCTTTGTGGTTTTGCAAGAGCTTGCATGAAATAGTGCTGTGTAACCTCCCAGTGTCTAATAAAAAAACTTCAAAGTCTTTATTTTAACGCCTTTCATTAAAAAAGTGATTTCACTGATGATGAAAGGATTGATATATGCCATATTAACTGTACTTCAACATTATAATTATACTGTACTTGGTTTCACTGGTGGATGACTTCTGTAACTTAGATGAACAGATCAAATAACAATATGGCAGTTTGTTTTTGAAGTTCTTCAAGTGGTGTGGGAGCAAATGAGAGAGGAAAAAAACATCTCACAGTTAATGGATAGATATTTTGTTTGTTGTACTCTCTCCATTTCCTAGATATGTTGGAATATCTACAATGGCGCTCCTGGAGTAACATTATCAACTCTTATATAAAAAATAGTAATTATTGAATAAAAAAATGTTTTGTTTTGTTTTTTTACTACTAATGTACATTTCATAACATCAGCATGTTCCTACATTCACACAACTCTTCAGACTCAACTGGGAATGGAATAAACTCACTGTGCCAACCCTTCTGTCACATGAATGCACATCATTACTTTTTGATTGTCTGCAAAGGATAATAGTGGATATTGTATGGTAATTGCAGCTTAAAATATGTTTGTGCAATCAGACATTCATTGTACCCCAAATGTTTCGCCAAAGCACATTTGTTGGAGGTGAGACTTGTTCTTTTGATCAGGTAAAAAACATGCTCAAAGGAACCTCTAGCAGCTGCAATCTAGGACCAATTGGTCAAATGTGAATTACTGTATTTTCCGGACTATAAGTCACACTTTTTTTCATCATTTGGCTGGGTTTGCGACTTATACTCAAGTGCAACTTGTATATTAAAATATATAATTTCACGTTAGTTTTCACACCGACAGCCACAAGATGGCACTCTATGCTTGTGTGCCAATATCTGCTATTCCTGTACCACTAAAAATTTATATGTTCGTTATTTTCACACTGACAGCCACTAGAGGGCACAGGTTTGACCTATACTCCGGAGCAACTTGTAGTCCGGAAAATATGGTAAGAGCCACTATCTGACAGGGAGCTAGTTGGTTCCAAAACTGTTATTTAAACACTGACGTTTCTTACACTTCATTCTTTTTATGTGGATGGATCTTATATCAAAACACATTTTAATTTTCATCAAAAAAATATGATGAAAACCCAGTATTCCTGTTCAGTAATCTTTTTTTTTAAACAAACTACTGTTTTCTTAGCAAAAACTGTTACAGCTTCCTTGTAACAGTTACCTGTCATTACATTTCTATCAAACGTTTTGCTCAGCTCACATATTCTTAAATATTTAACAAATGGTCATTTACCAGCTCAGAAATTTTGCTTGCAATGGAGGTAATTTGTATTTAAAATAAATGATATTCCACTATTATGTATGTAATAATACTTCTACACACATTAAAATTTTTAAATTTTCTGAAACCATAATTTATTCCTTTATTGATGTTACATTTGATACAGTAATGATAAAGTAACATTAAATGTACAGTTAGTGATGACTTTCTTTGCAGTGACTGCTCTTTGATGTTTCTACTGTGTCTAGATCTCCCAATATTATCAAACATATAAATGACCATTTTTTCTACGATGACCGTTTTTGGCTCCTAGTTGTTTTTGGTAATCTTAGCTTCATCTTTGTTTGTACTAAACCAGTCCTGTTTCTTTGGCTTCACCCACTGTTTAGCCACTATTGGCACAATTTGTTGCACAAAACTTTTCTTCTCTTGCCTTTGCCAATTTCTACAAATTTGCAATTTTCTACTTTTACTTTGTATTTTCTAAATTCTTAATGGCTATTGAGGCAGGGGAGATTATTAGAACTACATGTCAGGATGTGTTTTACTTCTGGGCAGGCATCAGGTCATCAATGGACTGACCACCCTCCAGTCTTCTCTCCATCTCAATCAGCAGCTTGACTCCATCCACCACCATCTGCACCAGCTCCACCTCAGAGAAGCCCAGTCGATCAGCATTGGAGATGTCAAACACCCCACCAACAGCATCCGTATCCACGCCACCAGTTCCACGTTTCTGAAGCCTCATCCTCTTCAGAACCTCGTCAAAGTTTGCATTATTGCTCATGTTGGGCAGCTTCACATGCACACCTGCTCGCAGACCTGTTCCCAGATTGGATGGACAGGTCAGAACGTAGCCCAGATGCTCATTCCACATGAACGAATTACCTTTTTCCTTGAACAGATTCTCGATGTTGGTGAGTCCAGTGCAGAAGCGTTCGAACACTTCCTTCATTTTGCCTCCTTTCTGCATTGAAATGACACGCAGGTGGTCTTCTTCATTCACCCACACCAGGAACGTCTTGTTGTCATTGTGCCAGATGCCTCTGCCATCAGGCCAATCACGGGCCATTCCTGCAGACAGCAGCAGGGGAGACACGGGTTTGTCAAACAGGAAGTGGTCATCAATGAGCTGCTGCTGTTCAAAATCTGTCATGTTCTTCAGGGCGAAGTATTTCCCCTTCAGATCTCCCCCGGCTGCAGTGGGGCGGCAGGCAGAAGCCACGGATGCTGCGTCCTGTTCGGACACGTGAGCTCAGGACATAGTTAGGGTCAAGATCATCACCACCTACCAGATTATCTGGGTTGAGGTCAGTCTTGTGTTTGTCCGTTGGCTTATATCCTCCATGTCTGTCCTCAATCACTGGATCCATCAGCTCTTTGAAGACTTCGTATGTCTCCTCATCTCCAGCAACGCAGCCCACAGTCATGATGAAAGGATGACCTGGATTGTCCACTCCTGTCTGGATAACGTTGTCTATGGTGTATCCATTGGGTGTAGCCCTCTCTCTCAGCATTTTGTACATGTCCAGTGTTAGCACCTTGGCCATGTGGTTGTTGTGCGTACTGAGATCTGGGAACTCTTCCTCAGCTGGACGCCTCTTCAGCTTCAGAGAAACTACATTCCCAGAATCTTCAGCTCCATCAGACATGTTTGCAGTGAAATATTCTTTTAAACAAATAAAAAATGAACAATAATTCTGTGAATTGATAAATGTTTCCGTCTGTAAGTTATCACTTCAACTGATGTTTTCAACGTTTTTGTATTTATTATGCTACTGTTGTATCTGGGTAAGTTTCTAAGGGTGTCTTTGATGTGATATATGACATCATATTACAAACTGATGATGACACTTGTATGAAAAAAAAAATGTATTAAGGCTGTTTCCTTGATGCCAGCACCAAACCCCTCCCAAAGCTTCACCAACATCAATGGACTATCAAATAGTCCATTGATGGCCAATGATATAAGTCCGCTCGGCTCAGAGCCGAGTGGACTTGTATCTAGGAGCATATCCATGGATGTTTCAGACATTGGCCGGCTGTAACTCTTTTCTCTGGTAACAGCTCCAACATGGGCAAAAGAAAGGAGCTAAAATTAATGGCTTCCTCTCGCGGCCAATCATATTTATCCTGTAGGATTTCAAAAAGGCTCCAGGACTTGAGTTTTGAGATGTGCTTCAGTTGACCTGTCCAAGATCACACGAAAATACATCAGACATTTAATCTCAAAACGTATTGAAAAAAAGTTCAAATTTTACTCAAGAAAACTTGAAGGATAATAATCTTACCTTTTTGGTTAAAATACTGTTTGGACTTTCTCCCTGAGAAAGCAAACTGTAATGGTAGGGGTCCAAGTAGCTCAATGATATGGGCAATGTGATCTGAGGAAACACACATTTTTCCATACTTTACCGAAATACATCATCTGCCTCCAGCTCTCAATTCCTCAAGCCCAGACTACAGTTCTTGCCTGGCACCTCATACTCTACAGCTTGGGTCAGTGAAGCTGCCATGTTCTCTTTCTGTCTCTTTAGAACAGATATCCAACTAGTCTCTACTCTCAGTGCACACTACAGTGTCATCTGCAAACATATTAATCCATGAAAACTGACTTGATCACATCTTGTAGTCTGTTCATAACCACTGTATGGGAAAATAGCTTAGGCGGCTAGATTCCCACGCTCCCCTGCACTCGTGTGTCACTGCTGTCACCCTGCCTTCATATTCCTTTATAAAATGTACAATTATTTAATTTAAGGAACAACATGACATGATTTACAAACAGACCTTCCTCTCTGGAAAACGTGGCTCCCGATTGTGGATCAAACAGGTAGTCCCCAGTTGCGAGCTCAAAAGCCTATAAAACAAAGAGAAACCAAATGACAACCAATCGAAAATAAAACTTTCCAAGAATAGTATATTTTTATTTGAGAACTTATTCTGCCTACCATGCAGGCAGAGCTCCAAATGTCAGCTGGGGTGCCGTAGTCAGTACCGATCAAAACCTCCACAGAACGGTACTGACAGGTCTGGATATCTTCAGTGAAGTGTTTTTGCTGACAACAATTTTTTTTTAACATCAAATGTTTGAAAATAGTTGGTTTTACAGGTAGAGTTACTTACCACCCAACAGGCATTGCCCAGATCGGCAATCTTGATTAGGATTCTATCAGCATTCTGTGGATTCAACAGGTCTAAAAGTACGTCAGAGTCACTGCTACCTGAAACACAGGCACCATGACTGAAAGCCTGACTAACTGAAACTCATTTAGCCAAATAATAACAAAAAGTCAATAAAAATAAAATGAAATGGATTAACTCAAAATCAGGCTTAAAGATACATCAAAAACAGCTAAAATTTGCTTAATCTAAAGGCAAAGTAAAGACTGACCACAGTGAGAAGATGATGATGGTGGTGGTGATGGCAGTGACGGTTCTGCAGATGGATGTAACGGCAGTGACCCAGCGCCCATGTTGAAAGTGGTCCACGAACAGACGGATGCTCTGTGGTTCTGTGGATCAAATTCCAGTCTGTCTTCCAACAACAGGGTTTGTCTTCTTAATGTGAAACCAGACTGACTGCTGGAGCTCTGTTTGGCAACAGAGGACGGGGGGAGCACGGCTGTCCTCTCCTGCCCTTGTTGACGAGTGACTTTCCGTCTTAGTCTGACAATTGGACTTTTGGAGACCTTACTGGACTAAGAGGGAAACTTTAGTCAGCAGGATGTTAAAATGGACTGAAAAAATACTTTGGCAAATAATTCAAATCCAACGTATACAGTAGTCACTGTGGTCGCCCTCATATTTAAAAAACCAGAGTCAGAAGCAAAGCTATAATACAACATTATTCATATTATAAACATTGTATCCCAGCTATAATATTTGAAATAGGGCTGTCAATCAATTGAATTCAATTCAAGTCATGATTTTTTTCTGTATTGCTGGAACAGAAAGCTAATGGCAGCTGGTGTATACATGTATTTAATACCTGGGTTTTGTTTTTTTCAGACTAATCCAAATGGTGGGATTATTAATATAGGAAAATGATTGATGTCAAGTACAAAATCTCAACACAACATACATCTTACCCACTCCCCAAAGTTATGAAAAGCCTCGGTCAACTTGCCAAAAACGTTAGAGAAACTCTGAGAAAGGTCAGGCAGGAAAAAACATCATTATTTCATTTGAAAAAAGTAATATTATTGAAACCCAAGACTTTTTAGGTGTACACACCTTTTTTTCACTGAGTCCACCATTTACTGCAAGAAAACAGAATTATCAGTAAAAAAAAGGGAAAATAACACCATGCTTCATCATAGGCTGGAAACTACTGATGACGACCACATCATCAGGGTGACTCTTGATCCAGCATCACTGACCTGTTGAGCTGTTGAGAGCAGGGGTGACCGGCAGCTGCCACAGTTTAGTGTTTGCAGCTAATCTCTGGACATAAGTGTTGTCCACGCCCAGCAGAATGTTTTCTGGTTTAATGTCCGTGTGGATCATCCTGCATTTAGTATGTAGGTAATCTAAACCCTGTAAAACCTGGGGGCACACATGAGCAGGTGCAGTCAGTCTGACAAAAAACAGATAATATAGTATAGTATAGTACGATAATGAAGTATGGAGGCTTGGTAAAGGACCTGTCTGAGGATGCTCTTCACACAGGCCAGCGGAAGGCCGGTGTAATTGGACTTGACAATCCACCTCAGCAGCTGGTGGCCTAGAACCTCTAGAACCATGCACACATCTGTTTGGAATCCATTCAGGACTTTGTTTTATATTGTATCAAAGTCACTGACTTTATGCAGTCTTCCATCTTTTGAACTGCAGGTCAGTAATGTCCAATGTCTGGCATGATTGCCAATCACAGTTAGTTACACATTTTTATGTGAATACAATTTGTTTTAAAGCAAAGTAGGAAAAACCCTACTATCAACAGTGGTTTGAAATTCTAAATTGCCTTCAAATATGTGTTTGTCCATATGCCAACAGCAGTGCTGCACACATTTCTTTGACTTGGTAGCCCATTGGGTAACCATGGCCAACCACCCTTAAATGAAGGATACGCTCTCCGTTGGCGCCCAAGATCCTGAAGTCGTCAATGAGTTGTACAATTCTTTCACGCTTAGGGTCTTTGGGATCACTGTCTCTTACCTGGCATTCATATTTCAATAAATAAATAGTATAAATGTAGATGCTAGTTGTGTGTTCCTGGTACTTTTTACACAGTGAACTTCATTGCAACATTACTTTGTGTAAATAAAGTGGGTTTTTTTTCGTTTTGTTCTGTTTTAACAAATTTTTTAACGAATGGAAAATCTATGTTGTTACACTGACACATTTCAGAAGTTTGATTTCATCCAGTGCCGTCTCTGTGAATGTTGGAGCGCTCTTCACTACTTTCAAGGCCACAAAGCGTCTTTTCCTGCAAATTGAATATATTATTTAGAAAGCAGGGATAAAAACATTTCTGATTCTAATTCAAATCTACCATTAAATACTTGGGTGCAACATCAAGTTGCTGACATAAATTAAATCACATGACCAGCCGACCAATATATAGAAAAATGTTTGATTCAATGCCCCAACTGTCCTTTTTGGCATATCAAGGCCACCACAGTTGTCACCAATAGGTGTCACTAACTGTTGTAAATACAAACAGTACTTACACCATGTCCCAGCAGAGCCACACAGTGGAGAAATGGCCCCATCCCAGCTTCTTCACCACTTGATAACGATCAACAAAAATCTCTCCAATCTCCACAGAGTAATAACCGCCTGCAACACAGTTGGTATCAGAGCAGACCCACGAGAGCTGCAGAGATCGTGGTGGGTGCGGCCTTACTGCCTACCTATGCCATAGTCTTCAGGGTTCTCCTGCTGCTCCTCATATGTCCTCAGGGGATCTGGAGGAGGGGGTTGTTCCTCCTCAACTGCAGGCTTTTTGTGGATTTTGTGAAAGCGAGGAGAAGGTGTCGGAATCCCTGCTGGGCCAGAAGATGATGATCCGGGGGTGTCAGGAGAGTTTAATGTACGAAGAGCTGATATAGCAGCAGCATAGGATGACGACATGATCTCCTAGAGTGTTTCACCACAGCTTCTAGTTTAGTTTAAGAGGCTGCAAAAAAAAAAATAAAAAATGTTTAATTCACCTTTTCATGGGTACTTGTTTTAGTAAACTACAATTTAACTGTTTTAAGTTAACTTTTAATATCTTTTATAGTTTCATAGATTTATAATGAGTTTATGTGGACTTTTGAGTTTACATTTGTTGAATTAGGTGTGCTATGAAAGACAAACGTATGTATCTCTAAAGTAACTTAGCCTAATTTCTGACTCTTGACTTTTACAATATAGGACATTCCTTTACCCATGTGACAGTGCTCTTTGATATGCTAGGCCAAGGAAAATGCTGATGACAGCTGTTATTGTAACTTGTGCTATAAAAATCTATTTTGTCAATGTCAATAATAATAACTACAGAATATGTCAGCTAACTTCAGCATTGCCGTGTTTTTGTTGGGGCTATAAACTGTGAAATGGTGATATCCTCACTATTTTCTACAGCAGACCTACAACAACAACATCAGTACAACATTAGAGCAAAATACTTACTGTTATTATATTTTTAAATTGTGGCAGCAGCAGGAGATTGTTTGCACTGACATTTTAAAGCAACCAGTAGATATGTGGATTTATTTTTAGCCCATTGAATGGCATGTCAACGTAAATAGCCCATGACTGCAGCTGAACTACGACTGGAACTGCTGCACTACCACTGCACACTTGTAAACATGTTGAACGGCCTTCAACATTGTTGAGCTGAAGTAAGTCTTCACTTTTGAATTGTGTAATTAAAATGTTTCAAGACACTTAAGTAATAAGACGGGAACATTTTGTTCAGCACAGCAAACGTACAAACCTATGCTATTTGTGGACCCTTTTTGCTTAAGTTTTTTTTTAATCCTGTGCTGCCTTTAAGTAACTTATAATTAAGAAGACATTTCTCAATGTTTTAGCTATTAGAAACATACAGTATGAACTCTTCGTGGCCTTGCTGATAAACCTGCTTGTATTGTTATTTCTTCCCAATATTTTGTTCATATGCTAGGTTAAGGTTTCAAAGTTGATATTACTATTATACGTCTATGCTTTTTACATTCCATACAATGTCACTGTGAACGTAACTAAAAAATGTTCTTGTTTCTTCATGACAACGTTATTGTCAAGTTGTCTTCGAGGAGTTAGTTGCCATGTAATACTAAAACGATTATCGCGTTATGTGGTGTGAAAAAACATGTACTCACCACCTGAAGTAGTGAATCCTAGTCAATTTACAGTTGGTTAGATATAAAGAAGTCTGGCCGTAGCACAGAGGAGCTCCTCTGGCCTCGTGCTGCTGCTGTGCTGCCTGTCTTACCACACTTCAGTCCAGGAATAGCTGGGGCTGCTGCTTCATGGTGCGTTCGTGTTTAAAAGGACACTTCATTCTGAGCCCCAGCTGTAAAGGTGGTGGAAAGTGCCTTTTTAATCACACTTGGACAAACATAAACCATATTTTAACCAAACAAGCTTTTTAATAGTATCACTGGTCACCAAAAAAACCCTCCAAAGTTCACTTTTATTAACTTTGCTAAATATTTTAGCTAACTTAACAATTACCTATTGTTTAATTGTTTTCTTTTTTGTAAACCTGCTCTATTTCAATACAGTACAGTAGTTTTTCTTTAGGCTATTTTAAATTTATTTTTTACTAATAGCTAGTGTGCTATCTTTGGCAAAATTATAGCTACGTATACTGTAGGCTTTTCGTTTTGTGCCTAATGGTTGTTTTTTTTGTAATATTTTAGTACATTTAATATATATTTTGGATTATATTCAGTTATTTTAAAATATAATGTGCTAACATCGAGTATCGTACTGACTTCTCTTCATATCTTATACACAGACCCTTTACTTCCAGACAATTTTCACTCTGACGTTGTTCATTATAATGAAACTGATGCTAAAACCGAACTTAATCATAATCTTAATCATAACATGAAAAATACAACTATTTTTGGAACTGTGTTGTAAATGTACATGTACATTTTGTGCTTAAAATGAAAACGTATAACTGAAAACATGTCAATGTCACAACCCAATTGTTTTTGCAGAAAGAGCTGAGTGGACGAGAGTGAGTGACGTATTATTTCAGCGCCAGGGGCGGGGCCTGTTTTGAACGTAAGGCGGGGATACCTAATGACGTGTTTATGTAAGCTAACAAGTTTATGTCTTGCGAGAACTGCTTAAACTGTGAAAAACGATGTTAACCGGATTGTCGTCAAATTGGGAATGATTCACTTCCTAACAAACGACTGCGCAGTAACATAACGTCTAATTTTGGTAAGCCTGACGTTGAAATTCGCTTCCGGCGAAGGCTAGTGTCCATGCAGCTTATAGCATTCATTGTTAATGTTATTTTTATGACCATTTCAGGACGTTACGTTTGGCGTTAAATATGCCTATCCGAGCACGGTGTATAATTTGTGCTGATTTCTTCGATCACTCCAAAGATGTCGCTGCCATACACTGCGGACACACTTTCCACTATGACTGGTGAGCCTTGTTAGCACATTAAGAGATAATGAAAACACATTTCCGAATTATCTTAAACGTGTATTACTTTTCTTTGTCTCCTCTTAGTATTATCCAGTGGTTTCAGACAGCACCAACAAAAACCTGTCCACAGTGCAGGAAACAGGTAGAGTATTACGTAAACATAAATCGACACGTACGCTAGTCATAATTTGCCAAAAATAAGCATAGCTCATATATAGGACCTATTTACCTAGGGCAGTTTTAAATTAAAATCGAAAACTAAATTTAACCAGCTGTACGTAAAAATGAGAAAATTCTTAATACTAAAATGGGGTCATATTTTAAGTTTCCTGAGTAAATATTACAATATTGAAAATAATACAAATATTTTTAATACTAAGCACTGATTTTAACGTAAAGCAAATGATTTGTTTGATAGTAAAGATTTTAATTGCAAAAATTGTAACTAAAATTCTGTCTTTCTATGCAATGGAGCAGTAATACAAAAAAGGTAAACAAACACCTAAATGAGCTCTTCAAATATAATTTAAAAAAACATATATCACCTAAACAACTTTCAAAACAATTTGTCCAAGATAACAGAAGACAAGAGTTTTGTTTTCTACTAGTTTTGCCATACTTTGTTTATAATTAACCACCAGGTTGTGAATTTTATGTACTGTATGAGTTCTTGTTGTAATGAACTATAAAAAAAGGAATGAACAAGCCCGCATTAATGCTCTGTACAGGTCAGCACCAAACACATAATCAGCAAGCTCTTCTTCGATGTTGGTGAGGAGGAGGAGGTTCGCTTAGACCCTGAAAGTCTTCAGGTATTTAAACCCCAAACATCTATATTTTATAGTGTTATGAATGTTTTCTTGTAGAAATGAAACCATCTGATATTCTGCTCTAAATGTATATATTTTTATATTTTTTCTCTTAGAATGAGCTGGATCGATTGAAGGCACATCTGAGCTCCAAAGGTCAGCAACTACATTCATTTACTTTGATTAACATGAAGTGGACAAGACATCACCAGACATTCCCTACATATCCTCAAAATCAGTTTATCCTCAGCTGCTGTAATCTGCCTTTTGTTTATGTAGAGCGAGACTGGCGGGACAAACAGAAAGTGATGGACACTTTGAAAGAAATGGTGGACAAGCAGAAAAAGGACCTGGACAGGGGAAAGCGGGAGATCATGGAAAAGGAGGGTCTCTGTTCTACTCTTAAAGTATGTTGTTGGGGTTTATTGGCTGCTGAACAAAAACCTGTAGTGTTTTACAACTTGTCTGTTATTCTTAATTATTTCGTCACCTTTACAATGTCTAACAGAAGCAGATGGTGTATTTGGAGACACAACAGAAGAATGCCCAGTCTGCCAGAGAGGAGGCCCAGAGACTCAGAACCAAAATGAAAACCTTTGAAAGGTACTGTCAATGTAACATATGAATATTCATGAACTTAAATAAGCCTACTGAACCAGTGTTATACATCTGTGTGTAATAAGTGTCTGTAATAGACGAGTTTTACTTCTTGAAATTATTGACGAAAAAATGAGTCATGCCTTTAGAAGGAAAGAAAAGGAAGGAAAGTGAACTCCTTGTCATTGTGACACACACCACTACACACAACGAAATGTGACCTCTGCATTTAACCCACTTCCAAAGTGAACAGTGGACAGCTTTTTGAGCGCCTGGGGAGCAGTGTGTGGGGACAGTGCCATGCCCAGAGCACCTCAGTGGTAATGTTTTAATTTACATTATAAATTTGTTGTCAGTTTGGACATGTTGCTGCGGGGTCAGAGAGACGAAGTGGAGTCCATGGTCAGAGATATGGGCGTCAGCCATGCAGCAGTGGAGCAGCTCTCCATCTACTGCATCTCCTTGAAAAAGTGAGTAATTCATTTTAAGTGTTGTCCGATCAAACCTTATCCTACTTAAACTATGAGACTCACATTAGTAGGTCTAAGTATATGGTTCTGCTGGGGCTCAAACCCAGGACCTTTCTGTATGTAAAGCAGACACTACACTGTGAAACACCATGTTATAAAGAGGAGCAGGTGGCAGTAATTATCTTTCTAAATAAAATACCACACAGAACAAACAGAAGTAACTGCTAACATGCAACTCTCAATTTATCCACCGTCTGCCATTAACAGACGTCATTAAGTAAGAAACACAGTGTCCACGTCTTCTACTTTTGATTTGTTCTATTTTCCGTTTCTCCACAGGGAGTACGACAACCTGAAAGGAAGCCTTAAATCGTCACATGACCTGTGTGAGAAGCTAAAAAGAGAAGTGCTCTCCTCCAACAACAAGGTAGCCTTGTATAAATGACACATCGATGTCTTGAATATGTTGAAATATTCTGCACATAGAACAAAGAAAATGTTGTCTTTCTTCCATTTTAGTTGCAGAAAGCTTCAGTTGAGGTGAATCAAAGTAAGGACGACATGAAGGCTCTGCAAAATGATCTGACCAGCGCTGACAAGGAAATCTCAGTGAGTGACCTTTACTTACATCCACTTCTATAGATGCTCAAAATGTTTGGTTTTTTAAACATTTGCAAAAATAGAAGAAATAGCTGAATGACAGAAAAAATGTACTTGTTTATCTGCAGAGTCTAAAGAAGAAAGTAGAGTTCCTTCAGAAGACCCTGACCACACCAACCCGAACAAACGAAGCCCTCAGCCGTCTCATCTTTGAAAGGTTTGTTTCGTCACTGAACCGTTGTCTCATCTAACATGGAATAATAACCATCCTTTTACAAAGAAAAAGTCCTGTGTTTAATGAAGAGGGTTTTTACTATTAGTCCCGCTCCTCTAGAACTGAAGCAGCCACGTCTGCACCAGCAAGCTGACAGTCAGGACATAGATCTGAACATGACCTATGACATCTCAACACCAGAGGATGTGGCCAAGAGGCGGGTTTCCTCCAAGAAGATGCGTCTCGACCCTCCAGCGTAAGTTTTCTCCTCATCCCCATCATCACAGTTTACATGTAAGAGTCCTTTCACTCATGTCACTCACCATAATTATAAGTAGAAGCGTGGTTAGCATAGAAATAGAAAAACAATTGTTACACAATTTGATAAGCCACTCAGGAAGATAATTTCTACTCGCCATCACAAAGCTGATCTAGCCCATCAAGTTTGATCTACTCTACGTTTCTCTAAACTAACATCAGTGTTTCCCTAATGTAATTAATTCTTTTTTTCAGGACAACCACGTCCAAACCCAGAGACAAGAGTGCAACAGCCAATAAGGTAAGCCTTTGAAAAGTCTTCTGACGGAATCCGTTCGTGTCGATCAGCCGCTTTATTCAACCTCTGATGTTGTGTCTTCACCTCAGACTCACCAGGACGATGGATCCATGGACACGTTCTTGAAGAATTCTCTTCTGTTCAGAAAGAAAACCTTTGGCAGCATGCTGGATCCTCAGCGGAAACCTGGAGTTGTGAGTGCAACAAAAACACTTGACAACATGTATGATACTGTGCTGTAGTTCTAGTGACTGACGGTGCACTGTGTCTCCTCACAGGTGAGAACTGGTTATGATGGATTAGGAGGTCGAACCAAATTCATCCAGCCTGTATCCTTTCTGTTCTGTCACACAGGATTCTTTTGTATTTTTGTGATTTCTGGCCTAATTGATCCATCCATGTTTGGCAGAATAACTCATGCATGTGCCTAGGATGTTTTTTCCCCCTTAACCTTATACTGCAGTCTCCTCTGGCAGAGATCCGCCCATTGATAAAAGCTAAGAGGAAAAAGGTGACGCGGCCTCCACCTAGAGCTGAAACCTGTCTGACACTTGACAGCTTTCTGGAGTGAACTTCAGCTGCACCTCCTCAGGGTGAAGTCTGAAGACTGTTGCTGACACACTGGTGACAAAAACAAACCTGCTGGATAATTTTTTAATTTTTGGTCTTGATTGGATGTTGACTGTTACAGCTACTGTGTCTCTGTTTGGAACTTGTTTGAACATCTGAATGCTTCACACACACCAGTGACTTTTTGCCGAATATTAAGAAACTGTCTCTCTGATGATGAGGCTGCCTGGTGTGATATAAATGTATATAATTTATTTAAATAGCACCAAATCATCATGTGGAAATATTTTTAGTTGTATTAGACTGTGGTGTTGTAAACCCCAATTAAAAACAATAAACTTGACTTTTTAACTAATGTGAATGTGGAGCTGTGCCTTTTTCAACCTGAAACAGTTCCTTGCCTATTCCTGTAGAGGGCAGTGTTGTCTCAGTTGACCTGTTTCTGTAAAGAAATGTGCATTACTGTACTGTGTTCTGTTATTTAAGATAACAGTTTCAGTTGATGTGGTGCACCAGACCATTTCAGTTGGTAATGGTATTTTGCAATTCCTACAAATAATGGATCATTGCATTTGGTCATAATTTTTCAGAAAAAAAAAAGAATAAATTTGTATTGTGAAAACTTGTGAAATGTATCATGAGTTGAGTGTAGTGTTACTGACCTAAACTACATGCAAACAAATAAAGCATGAATGAATGAGTTTCATTCTTGCTATCATTTTACATTTCCTATCCTGAAAGATAATTAATATGCCATATATTTATTCTACCTCAAGCACTCGATGAAATCCTGTGGGGTGTTCAGAAGTGAATATTTCCTGTGAGTTAGTGAAAATTTCAAATTTCCTGCAGAACTAAATCAGCAGCAACAGTAACAGAAGGGTGATGTATATGAAAGAAGAATAGACTTTATCTGCATAATGTTTTTTACACTGGATGCTGACTTCCTCACACAACCTAACCTGGTCTTACAGGCGTCCAATGTTGATTTTGGTGATTGTTAACTGAAGGAAAAGAAAACCACAAACACATAAACAACCCTTCAAAAACATTCATGTTCAGTCGACACATAATCCATGCAGTGCGTTTGGAAATTTAGCGAACATCCTTTCTTCACTGGGGAGAGATTCCACACACTTTTCTCCAAGGAGAGTAAAAATAATAAGGACTGAAGCTGCACGATGTAACCCACATCTACTGTCACTGTGTGGTCAATATGCTGATGGACATATGAGCAGTGCTTGATCTCTCTCTCTGATAAAGAGTGTACATGTCATAATCTGTGCATAAACCCCCTGCATCTTACTGTGCTTGGCCAATCAGATGTGACCTTACTGATCCATAAACCCACTCTATGCAAGTAATCAAGGTAGGGGGTGGAGCACAGAGAGAGAGAGAGAGGTTTGCAGTTTCATGGGATGAACAAGTGAAGCAGAGTAAAGGACGGATGTAGAGCCTGTGAATATCAGTAATTTCAGGTGATATGACAAAAATACAGGAAGTATAAAGAAGCTGGATGGAGAACCTTTCGAAGATCTACCAGAGACAGGAAGTGCTCTGTTGGTTTGGGTCCAAGGAAACATCAGATACCGTTGTCCTGACAGTCCTGGGGTTTCAGTTGCAAGCTCTAAATTCCATGTGTGTCATATGACCTAAGCTGTCCAGTGAAGGCCAGAGCATGTTGTATATATCAGTTTCACTTCACAGATTTCTGCAAAGACATGACCCAGGTTTGCTGATGATCCAGATATCAACACACACAGAGTCTAAGCATGTTCACCCTCCCAGTTCAGTTCCATATGTATTTCCTCATCTCTTGCTTCACAGATATGTTAACATCATGTTCTATAGGAGAGGACCTGGCATTGGCAACAAAGATTAAAAAAAGACAAGTGCTGCATTCACAGTCCTTTTCCTGACTTCCACCCTGCAGTGACAACAGTTCAGTCTGCAGCCTCAGAGAATATGTTGAATTCACAGCCGGCCATGAGAAATCAATTCATCAGCATTCGGCAAAATCAATACACAAGATTTTAGGTTTTGTTTTTCACTAGAAACTATCAGATGCATGTAGAGAAAGGTCAATATAAGTTTGCCGTCTCTCATTTCTCATTTTGTCATTTCACTCATGACGTGCACTGAAGGTAAAAAAAAAACGTCAGTCATTTTCACACCCTAAAAATATAATCGTCCAATTCCTTGACTCATGACTCATTCTGATAAACTTCATCCTGATTCTTGTTCTGATTCTTCTGATTCTTCTGGTGGATGTACAAATATATGAAGCAAAAAAATAAGAAACTAATATTTCAAATTTTGACCTTAATCGAAACATTTACCGTAATAGTCAGAATATAAGTGTGTTTGAGTATAAATCGCAGGAAAGCAAGGTTTACTATTGCTATTTATTACAGGTGACGTATCATTCTTCTCCCTCAAATTTCCTATGGTACCTGAACGCCCCTTGTTATGGACACGTTTTACAACATCATACAAACGTTGTACAAGTTATTTCAACACTGTTTCTATTTATTTTCCTATAAAACACTCCAAACATAATGACCTGTTCTGCAGGTTTAGTTCGTTTTTTTCAGAACTTTCAAACCCATTAACGCAGCCACGTGTACCTGTCACACTCTGTGCCCATGGGCCTCAGACCTGTCAGTGGTGAAGCTCACCGCACGTCACTGCCTCGCCTGCCTCCACTGACTGCACGTCACTGCTGCCAGAAGACCGTTAAAGTCGTGGTTTTACGTGACGTCCAAACTACGCTGATTTATGCTGGGATTCTCATTTTTCTGCTTCATACAAATTAAATTATGAAACTTTATTTTGGTCCTCAACACACAACACTGTTCTGGTCAGCACTCAGAGAGTTAGTAATATTTTAATTATTGCACCTGTTAAGTGAATTACTCTACACTGAAGATGTGACTGGTGTCACACGATGACTGACCCACTCCTCGTGTCACTCGTCCATGTAACAGAGTTTTAAGTTCAAATGATAACAACCCATTGGTCGTCACAAATATCCACATGCTTCATATTTTCCTCATATCGTGCAGCCCTAACGCCAACCCTTCACCAGTCTAATGTACGGATCAAGATGTTGGGAAACCTCATCATCTTTACAGTCTGAGTGTGTGATATGGTAAAGAATCAGTTCAAGGATGAGGGTGTGTTCTTTTGTGCTTTGTTCCATGTGTGTTTAGACGAGTTAAACAGAAGGAGGAGAAAAGTCGATGCTGGTGTATCGTTCCGTCTGCTACAAGGGAGCAAGAAAATAAGAATAAAAAAATAACCTGCACACAACGCCTCTGCCATGCAGTTTGGACAGACGTCCCTTCACTGCGACCTGTCCGGCTCAATTTTGGACTCTCCGTTCTGTTTGTCGTTGGACTTCTGTGACAGGCGCGTGGACACAGTAGCTGCCTGCGCCACCGCTTTGAAGCTGCGCTTTCTCTTCTGGACGTTCTGCTCCGGGTGGAAAATGATGACGTACACCTTAGGGATGTAGAGCATGCCGAGGGACACGGTGGCGCTCAGGCTCATGGACACCGTCAGGGTGGTGGTCTGGATGAACATCTGCAGCGAAAAACCAAAAATAATCAGAGGCTTGAAATTTAGTTTAAAACCAAATATCAAACAGAATAACTGCCAGAGTACAGTAGAAGCCATCATTGAATTTTTCAGCAGCTGCAGCTGTCAACAGGCCAAATCATTATTTTTGCCACTACATATATAAATAAAGCATTATATTTAGTCTCAGTGGCGTTCTAGGGCTGTCTTTACATTTTTTTTCCCTGCGCACAGAAGGAAGTGTTTTTCCTCTGATGAATGATTTATGACCCGGTTCTTGTAGTCACCAAAGGAAATTCTATTTATAGGATATGGCCATGTTTACTCCATGCTGCTCCTAATCAAATCCAAGAGTGTGTGGCACCGTAGGCAGCTGTGACTGGACCAGAACTCCAACCCACCACTGTGACCCATCCTTTGTAATAAGGTGCTGTGGCAGTGGGACTGCTGTGTCATATGTCCAAATAAGTGTCTCCAGACCTGGACTAACTTTGGACTAGGACATGATCGTAGTTTCCTGGACTTTTTTTTAATTCTATTGTCCTGATAGCACCTACAAAATGGCTGCCTGGTACTCACTCACTCTGTGTTTTTTTTTTCTTCAAGCCCATTTCTAACAATGACATAATCCTGTAATTTAAAAGGCTAAAGGCGAAAAATAATCTGATAGACTTTGCTAGAAGGGTTCCACTAATGTCTGTTTTATTACAGGATAAGTGGATTTTTTTTAGACAAAAACCAGCACTGTGAGCAAAACAGACCAGGAGTTTAAAAATGTTGAAGGGTTTATTAAGGGAATTCTTCCTTTAATAAATGATCAGCATGACATTTGATAAAAGCATCACATTAGCTTTAAATCTAGGTATGAAGGATGTACGAGGACTTGGCCGGGATGTAACTCTGCTATACGTTCAAGACGGCTTCATGAGAATTTCATGCCGTCATTAACCTGACACAAACACACACACTTATGTCAAAAACCCTGTCGTAAAAAGTATATGTTATGAAATAAAATGATCTTCCAGTTCTGAGATGCTCTTATTTTTTAGTAGAGCCACTCCACTAGAGGGAGGCCAAGTACAACCAGTGTTACATGCACCATAGTTTGAGAACCAAGGACTTATAATCAGTTCACTGGTGTTTCTTGGTTCGGTGGTTTTGTTCTCACAGACTGTCCCGACATTAAAACAGATGTCTTTAAACAATCTAGCACCCCCAGCAGGTCAGCCTAGGTACTTCATGTAGGGTTGGTTGCTCAGACATTTTTGGACTTAGTAGTAATTAGTAATAAATGCAACGGACAAGACCATTTATACACGATACTATGCCAAGTACCTATGCCACAAATATGCACAAACAGGTAAATACTTCCTGTTATTGGGATCTGTGGAGCTCAGTGACTGCCAGACAAAGGTTCTTCTCTATATTTAGTCCTTTCTTTCTCCCAGTGTTATGATTAATTGAACAGAATATTTGAGTGAGTGAGGGGTTTCTTATGTCCCTCGGTTCATCTAACCTCCTTTAACTCTGCTCTCCTCTGTTCTCCTGATCCATTTCCAGTTGGAGGATGTAAGACACTTTGAAAGCACCTCAGGCTTAAATTGATTCAGCTTGGCTGCTTCATAATATCTCTCTATTAATCTAAGTCAATCTCTTTCTTAAAAAAAGGGGGGTGGGGGGGAATACTCCATTAACTTTGTGACGGAAGAAAAAAGCCATATCTAGAGAGAGGGAAGCTGCTGGGATATGACTCAGAAACATTCTCAGTGTTAATATGTCATCAGCAGAGAAGGGCTTTATAATAGTAATGCATGCCAACAGTGATTGACAACTGACTTAGTTTGTAAGTCAATTCTTTTCTCGTTGAACATTCCTGGACACCAAGGTCAAGCTGCCATAAGAACTAAAATAGTAAATTCCAAATCAGTTGAAAAGTTCTAAGACAGATTTTAAAAGGCGTCGTAACAAACATCTGTCTGTGTTATTACTATATCTTTGCTCCGCGCTGAGCTGTGTCGTGTTTTATTGGATTAACCAAAGGTGAACAGATACTGGTCGAAATCTCTGGAGCTCAGCAGCAGGTCCATTTGTTTCTATCCTTTAACTGAAAGAACATTTGCAGAGACTTGTTTTCATTCCTTGATTTAGTACAAAAGTACGTCCCACTAGAATCCAGAAGGAGTTCTCTGATGAGAACAACACCTGCAAAAGTTTTAAACCTAAATCAACAAGTTTAGAAATTGCTTTTTTTAACAATTTCAGCTTGTACTTTTTGCCCTATTCTTGTTCTTTTAGTTAAACTTTTTTCCAGAGAGCCACTAGCCAAGAATCAGTGAAAAGTAAATAATGAGTTTGAAAAAAAAAAACCAACATAGTAGAGGATTTAAAAAAAAGATTTGATCCACTTTTGTTTATCCACTAAACCTTTGCTAAAGCTTAATAATAAATGGAACATAATAACCAAACATGTTCTAGTATCCTCAAAATGGATTTATAAGCAAAAAATAAAAATGAAATATTTCTAAAAGAACAATTTGCTGTGAGAATGACATTGTGACACTGCCACAATGTCATTCTCACATGCCGTAACATGGGTATGCTGCTGTGATCATAAAATGTGTCAAGAACAAGAAATCCGAGCCCAGATTACGTTTCTGAAAAGTAACAGCCCCACCTTCTCAGTTGACTGTGCCGTGCCAAAAAAGATGGGGACAAAAGCCAGCCAGATAATGCAGGTGGTGTACATGGTGAAGCCAATGGGCTTCGCCTCGTTGAAGGTCTCGGGAACTCCTCTGCTCTTGATGGCGTACACCGTGCAGGTAATCATCAGCACGATACTGTAGCTCAGACACAAGATCAAGGACAGGTCGGACATGTCACACTTCAGGACGCCACGAGCAAACTCTGGGTTAGGGGGCTTCTGCTCCTCGTAGTCGATGATGGTGTGGGGGGGCATCACACCAAACCAGATGAACACACCCAGTAACTGTGTGGAGAGAGAAAAGTTTATAGAGTACGAAACGATTATAATGTAAAAAACATACACATTGTATGAATGGCTTGATCTGATAATCAGGATTTGTATTGGTCCGATATTGGTCAGGATCGAACGTTGAAAAAAACTTCTATAGCTGTGCGATCCGATACCTCAGCTCAAATTCGCAACTAAACTTTGTGTGACATGCTGTAAACAGGGACGGTATCGGATTGATATTGGTATCTGCAGATATTTGATATCGGTATCAGTATCGGCCCTGAAAAAGTCGTATGGAACCATCCTTTGTGCATTTATGAGTATCCGAAGCTGAGCATATGTTATATATGTTAGAGGATTGGTTAAATGTCCAACTGTGGTCTTAACAAAATCAACTCTAGGTATTTGGCTTTTAAATGTAATATTAGCGTAACTACAAGAATACAAGGACAACTCCATGGTAAGTTTAGATGCAGAAACCCATCAAGTACAACAACCTGCTCAGTTCTTACCTGTACTGAGATGAGTATAAAGGTGATGATGAGCTGAGAAGTCGGGCTGATGAATTTTGGGGGTGTGACCGACTTCTTGCCCTGTTCAAAGATGCGGTAAATCCGATTGGTCTTGGTGAGCATGGCTGCGTAGCTGATGCACATGCCCAGACCCAACAGCAGCCTGCGGAAGGCACACACGGCTATGCTGGGCTCAGCTATCATGAGGAACGTGATGAGGTAGATGAGGAAGATGCCGGTCAGCAACACATAACTCAGCTCTCGGCCGGACGCCCGCACTATTGGTGTGTCATTGAAGCGGACGAAGGTGACGATGACTCCGGTTGTGGCCAAGATGCCCAGAATGGCCAGGAAGACAGGAATGATGGCCCAGGGAGAGCTCCACTCCAGTTTGATGATGGGCGTGGGCCGACACCCTGTGCGGTTCTTCAAGGGCCTCATGTTAAATGGGCACATGTCACAGGTGAACTCGTCCAGCAGGAACTGATAGCCATCGCATAGCTCGCAGTGCCAGCAGCAGGGAACTCCTTTCACCATCTTCTTCCTCTCGCCCGACTCACAGGGGAAACTGCACACTGACTCAGGGATGTTGCGATCACCGCCCGACCACTGCATCTCCTCTGGCTGTAAAGGGAAAGTATAAATATATCCAGAGAGCAAAGCCATGTTATTATGAATAGGTAACATGTAGACAGAGGGTCAGGGTCGGGGTTAGCATATGAACCAACACAACATGAACCGTCCTGCTGGTTGTGAACACAGCCCAGGTTTGAGTTCTTATGGTACGGTACCTTACACGTGGGAGGGTGGGAATGCAGAGGTACAGTATGTTAATCCCATTCTGGACACTAAGAAGTTCAGAAGTGAGAACTGAAGTGTCTTGGTGTGTAAAGATGTTTTGCCTGTTATGCAAGAGGCTTATTAGAATTTAATATAGAAAACAGAGCAGGTCTCCAGACAGACACGGGGTTCAGGCAGCGTTTTTAGCCTTTCAAATGACTGATTTTTTCTGTTCAAATTATTCTTTAACTGTAAACAGGGACGGTACACGAAAATGCAGCATATGAAAATATCTGAGCTGGCACATTTTGATTGACGGCTGTGACCATGTGACTTAAAAAGATGTCTCTGGGGTCATCAGGAATGAGCAATGTCAAAATTGGGTCACGAAAGGTAAAGATATGAGCACTTCTTCAAAAATACATGTTCTGACTGTTTCACTGTAATTATAGCTGTAATTATAGCTAGCCTAGCTAACCTTAGCCAACGAAAGAATGGTTTTTTGTAGGTTTGAAGAAGCTCTAGCTAACCTTAGCCAACGAAAGAATGTTTTTTTGTAGGTTTGAAGATTCCTACGCCCACTGCTGGGCTTTCAGCTACACATTCAAACTAAAGACCTCTGGGATATTGATCATCTGATGTAAAAAAAAAAAAAAGAGAGAGAGAGACTTGATAAAGATTTACATTAAGTCGGAGGTGGTTTGTCCATTGACCAATGAACTGGTAGCCAGGGTTGCTAACATTAGACAGCTGGTACTGGAAGATATCGTAGCGCCCAGGAGCATCTCCGTTTTCGTTGAACATCACTCCGGTCCCTGCACTGCCTGTGTGATGGAGACAGGTGGAAATAAGGTAAGATTTGAGTTTAAAAAACATTTTACCGCTGAACACTTCTCATGTTTGATTTCTCCAAACATGTGCAGCCATGTGAAAGCTGAGTGCAGGATGTTCTGACGTCTGGAGTCTTTCAGCCCTCTCTGCTCTGCTGCCCTAATGTGATTGAATGTTCCTCTCAGGTGCCTGCAGGCACTCGATCAGAAAAGCCTTCCATACAGGCCAAGGCCATTCAGCAAGAGGAGAGCTTTCACAAAACACTGCTTTTCTTCTTCACACTGTGACTTCTTAATGAAAGAAGTGAATGAAAAGGGAAGAGCAGGAACACGGCCGCAGGGAGAGCATGTGCTGAAGAGAAAAGTGCATTTGCCGAAACATTTCAAGGCCGACGTCTTCTGTTTTCTACAAAAGTGAATTACATTCACGTGAAAATGATTGAAAATGCTCCGTATTTCTGAATTAACAAGGTGCTTTGTACTCACTGCTGTAAGGTTCAAACTGCAACACAAGCAATAGGTGCCTTCAGTCTAATGTTGCTGATTCTACAGACAGTTTTACTTGACGGTGACGTGTGTCAGACTAAAGGGTCAAAGGTCCCAGCTGTCATACATAAGACAAAAGTTTGGTTTTTTAAACATAGCCAATAAGGATCAAATGATAAAGGGATGACATAAAATAGATCTAAATGTCCAACAATTAGCAAATAAGCACAAAGAGTGAAGGTACGAATACAATTATATTTAAAATTAACTAAAATATGTAACAATAGCTAGAAAAATGTTTAAGAAATCCAACCGAAATTCCAAAAACAGGCAAAAGCTAGAATTTTTTTTAAAATAGCCAAAAATATATTACTATAAACATTTGTTAAACTCTCCAAAATAATTATAAAATAAAATAATAATAAAAATAATTCTGAAATACAGGAAAATAATCATATCTAAAATAGGTCAAGCAGCTCTTTTCAAGTTGTTATCCAAAATTACAAAACATATCAAAATTATAGTATGAAGTCTGGGAAACAGAGTGAATCATTTTTAGATTATATTGGTGATTTAGAAAATCAGAGGGATCATTGATCTGGCTGTGGAATCATTAATGGGAAAAGTAGGTCCAGTTTTTTGTAAAAACAGAACTGAATCTAGTTTAAATTCCCAAGCTGTTTAAGAAAAAGGAATAAATTCAAGTCAAATGTGTTGAGTGTGATATACGGTTAGTAAATGTTCACCATTGAAGTTGACAGAGCGAATGTACTGAAGGAGCATTCGTCCCTCCACAGGGTCCATCTTCTCACAGACGCCCATAGATCCTGGACACAAGTCCAAGTGCATGCTGTGTAAGGCGTGGGCCATGGCGTACACAGCGTCAATCACAAACTGCACCTTTCCTTCTTGTTCATACTGAGAGTCTCTGCTGATTCTTTCATCTCCTGTTAGAGAGTCAAGGGTGAAACAAAGCCTTATGTTTTTAGGTTTTTTTTAAATTTAATTAAATAAATGTTTTTCTTATTGTTTTCTACATTCTACCTGTGCATTTTCTTCTCCCCGGTTCATACTTGATACCAGGGCGAGTTAGTTTGCACTTGAAGTCGTCCTCCCAAAACTCCGCAAACCAGATGTTTCTCCTGTTGTTTTCCAAGGATCTTGAAGTGAAGTACTGGTCGAACCCTGGACAGGTTTGACAGAACAAAATTGGTTAGGAGGCCTTTTCTTCATCGCTGAGATGCTAGATTATAAAACTTAGACTTAGACGTAGACAAAGACTAAACCCTGTGTGAATCAAATTAACAAAAAATATACTCAACAAATATGAAAAATTCAGCTCAAAGCCAAGAAAGTACCTAATTGTTAACTACATAAATACCACAAAAAAAATCACAAAATAAAAACAAGAATTAAAAAAATAAAAAATACTGCGATAAGGGAAGAGGGATGCCATTAAAAAACTTTTACAGCAAAAACCTGGTAAAGAATTACCCTAATAAAATGTGTTTGAACATAATTAAACAGATGCCCTGAAACATATTTTAGATGAGGACAAAATGACACAGTATCCTGATGGCAATCTGTAAAACTGTAAGAAATTGTGGGCCACAGAGAAGCCCCCGGGCCATACTTTCGACACAACTACCTACCATCGATCGAGGCTCTTTTAGGCAGAATGGTAACTGCACCCTCAGCCACCTCCTCCTGATCTTGTACTGGGGAGCTTTTTGCCCCCCAACTGTCTGAGCCGACGAACAGAAAGTGACCAGTCAGGTTGGCCTTTTTGGCAGCCTCCAGTACACGCCTGGAAGAAGATAAAACGTCTTTATAGGTGGGTTGAAAAAAACCAAAACTACATTTTATCAGTCTGACTGACTGTGCCTCACAGAGCCAGAAGCGTCACTCACCAAATGTCGTCTTCATTGGCGAAGATGATGACGCCTCGAGCATTTGAGGTTTCCATTAGTCTCTTAATGATTTTGTCAAACTCTCCTGGTCTGGGCTCTCGAGGAATCTTTATGGACTGTGCAATGCACAGACCTCCTGTTAACATGTGAGAAATCTGTCAGCCTTACATTTCTGTTTGCTCCTCTCTGCAGGAAGTTTGGGCAAAATCCAGTGCTGTGCAGCCACCTGCTGTAGTAAAGATGGTTTTATACAAAACATTGGATTTAAAACATTAGTTTTAAGTACCTAAGATGATATCATGATATCAAACTATCAAAACTACCACAAATACAGTATATGATGGATGGATGGACTAATGGACAGATGGATGGATGGATGGAAGAGCTGATGGACAGAAGGTTGGTTGGATGGTTGAATGGACTATCGGACTTAACATATTACCTGCTTCTCTAGATATCTGGAGGAAGGCGTCGACTCCGCTCTCTCCATAGTTGCCCTCAGATGCCAGAGTGGAGACGTAGTTCCAGCCCATGGCTTTGACGATGTCCACCATGGCCTGGGCCTGGTAGGAATCAGGAGGCACCACACGGGAGAAGAACTCATAGCGGCTGTTGTCACTCAGCTCTGGAGCAGTGGAGGCGTAGCTAATCTGTGGGATCTGTGACACAACGGTTGACAGAGTCAAAAAGTCAAGAGCCAAAGGTCAAGGAAGGTCAAGGAAAATAACGATTACAAACGCCCTTAAACATCGAGACAGAGCCTTTTCTGATCACCTCGCCCAGGATCTGTCTTTTGAAGCTCACGATTAAAAATCTTGATCAGCCTCCTTTTCCGTACTCAAGCAAAATAACATTGCTACTAGCATCCTTTACTATGAGGGTAGTTCAAACAGGTCAAACCTTTAAAGGGCTGGTTTCGTTTCAACGTTGAACTTTTAAATCTAAGGTACAATTTGAAAATTCTCCTCCTCACATGAAAAGAACTAAAGTCAGGATCTGTGATTTCTTTAAGGATTCAGTGCACTCTACCAACCTAATAGGTTATTTCGCTCTGAAAACGAAGGCCCAGTCGTGGTGTCCAGAGTGTATTGGTGTAGAACGGCTGTAACCAGGCCATTCTCCTGAGTAACCAGCTGCCAGTGTGTTTTAAAGAGGGAGACGGTGAAGAGGTTGTGTTTTTCCACATGTATTTGGATCAATTAACATATTTTACTGTAGGTACTGTAGCTCTTTTTTTCCCACAAATTCCCGAGGTAATGTATTTTAGCTTTTTTTTTTTTTTTACATCTTTTGGCTATTAATATTTTCTGAATCTGTTAACTGTTTACCAAAAATATAAGAGAAAAAGGAACACATTAGTTTTGAGGTTCTTTTTTCAAACTATATATTATCTAAATAAATCTGTAAGAAAAGCTGAAATATTTCTGCCTAAAAAGAAATTAAAATCACGATGGGTTATGCAAAAAAAAAAAAAAAAATGAATAGGAAAGCAATGCATTTATATGAACCTTAATTATAGGGTAGATTAAAATGTCACTGTGGAATCGTTTGTCTCTTGTGTAAAGGTCTTGATAATAACTGATGAGCCACAGCTGGTTTGCGCTAAGATCATAAGTAACAGCACGGTGAAACACAGATGTCAGAAACCAAAGATGTAAAAGCATTTGTTTGAGGAAAAAGAATTACGAGAAGATTAATTTACTGCCGCCCTGCTTCTTTTAAATGACGCAGTTTATATGAAAACGCTCAAACCCTGACCCTCTTAATGCTGGTCTCCAGCATGGCTTAACGTTGGGCCCCCTGGAGGGCACAAGGAGAAAAAAGGCAGACACAAGGGCCGGTAAGGGCAGAGAGGGAGAGGATGGAGAAAACCATTTCACAGATTATCTGCCAGGATTATAGGGGTTTTAGTCAAATTATGTTAAGCACAGAGGGAGAGACGGAGATAAAGAGAGCAGGAAAAGGTTAGTCTTTCTCTGCAATGAGCCAATGTATTTTTACTCTGAATGAAACATGCAGCTCTGTGTTAACCCTGCCAATAGTAGTTTCACTACCGGGACTGAACTGTAGTAAAGGTTCAGTCTTTTTCAGCTTGGTGTCATTTTCCAAGTCAGTGCAGACAGTCTAGTGTTTGGACACACTTTGGTTTGAACCAATTCAGCCAGTAATCCATCTCCAAATTAATCCCACAGAAGCATCTGCACCAATTCACTCTTTAAAAATCAATGAGCCTCATC